ACTCAAGACCAATACGGTTTCGGATGTTAGCAACCGCAGAGGCGATTAGCATCCGACTTATGAAGCCTGAACTGTGCGCACAACGCAAATTGATCCAAGCTCTCAAACTAACCTAGCCCGGGGAAGAGAAAATCGCTTGTTCACACGACCATGACGTAACGATTTTGGTTATGTGATCCGAACTGCGCACATATTTTGAGTTCTCTTGGGCTCATTGCCAAACACATGACTCATCCACCTTTCTGTTTGACCGTATTGAAATTGTTTCATATAAATCTGATTTTAAAAGCTTGAAAAAGAATTCGCTGAAAACGTGTTCGCCTACATTGTGTACTTAATCAATGGGCATATTCAGGGATTATGAGAAATCCTAGCGCATCCTGTCGAACCTTCATTTGGCGACAATCAAGTGTGTGCATAACTTTTACCGGGGCTTATACACAAGACCTAATCTTTCAGTCTAAGGCGTTGGATTATGTTGGAAAGGGGCACAAATGATCACCTGCCTCATCGCATACCGTTACATATTCCTACCCCAAGGGTCGATTTATTAGTCACAGACCCTTGATGCACATTTGTGACCATACACAGCAACGGTTTTGGTTCTTCTAGTAACAAACCGAATGGCTTATGAGCGAGTTAAAATTGTAATAAAACCTAGGGTTGCATTTTATGCTGCATAACACCAAACTGAATCGCAGTGCTTCTCGTGTCCTATAGTGCTTTACGCGTTCTTCCTACTTTATTTTACTGCGATCACCTGAGTTGAGATGATGAGCTGTATTCATCCGGGATCGAAGTCATCCAAACACGGCGACGGTAACCAATTTTCACTCCAATGTCAGATTCCGTTGACATGTGCACGCTTTCGAAATCCTCAGATCCTAACTTGTCATCTGCTCATGACTGTACGTAATCACACGGACCTGTTGAGCATGCATGTCTCTTTTGCCGAATTCCCATGTAACTTCGCGATCTTCCTGAAGCCGCCTTATCCTTTTCCAGCATCCGAGTGTAGCTGAGAAAATGTATTAAAACAGCTTTGCACGACGAGCCAG